GATGCACCGGCGCCGGAACTCTCCCAGGGATACTGCCCATCCGCCCGGGAACTTCTCTCTGCAGAGAATGTGAGCGCACCCTGCCGCAGGAGCCCCCGCTGCGGCTTCGGGATCGCGGGCCGGGCCGAGCGGCAGCGCGGGCTGCGGGCGGCGGCGGCTGCAGTCCCAGCGCGCACCGCTGGGTGGTGCCCTCGGCCAAGGCGGCGCCGAGCGGCTGCGGCAGCGGAGGCGGCCGAGCCCGGAGCGCAACAGCCCGAGCAAGCTCGGCCCAGCCCAGTTCAGCTCAGCTCAGCTCAGCCCAGCGCAGCCGGGAGGAGGTGGCAGCGGCTGCGGCAGCGAGCGCTGCCCCGTGTCACCCGCTGCCGGCACACCCCGGCTGCCTTACGGGCCGCCGGCCGCAATCTCAGACAGCGAGGGAAGGCGCCCGGCTCGCACTTCGCCGCTCTCCGCCCGGAATCGCCCGGGACACCCGCCGCGACACCGACACCGGCCGCCGCCGCCGCCGCCGCGCCATGGCGCTCGCAAGGCAAGTGCTTTGTGTGTGTGCTTTGCTGGGGCTGCCGCTCGCTCGCGCTGAGCCCATCCGCTACTCCGTAGCCGAGGAGGCGGAAAGCGGCTCCCTGGTGGGCGAGCTGGCGGAGGACGCGGGGCTGACGCCGGCGCAGCTCTCGGCTCGCCGCGCCCGCCTGGTCTCGGAGGACGGCCGGCAGCATTTTCGCTTCGAGCGCGCCTCCGGCCGCCTCGTCGTGGCGGGGAGGCTCGACCGGGAGGAGCTGTGCGCCCAGTCCCACACCTGCATGCTCCCCTTCGAGCTGCTGCTCTCCAACCCCCTGCAGTTCTTTCGGGTGGAGGTAGATCTGGAGGATATCAATGACCATTCCCCTGTCTTCCCTGAAGATCGAGTCAGTTTTAAGATCCCTGAAACGAGCGAGCCGGGTTCTCGTTTCCCACTGGAAGGAGCTCGGGACCTTGATATTGGCAGCAATAACATCCAGGTGTACAGCATCTCTCCCGAGAATGAGTACTTTAGTGTCTCCTATGGAAGTCGGAGGGAGGATGACAAATATCTTGAACTGGTCTTGGAAAATCCACTAGATAGAGAGGAACAGGAAGAGATGAGGTTCCACGTTATTGCTGTAGATGGTGGCTCTCCCCCGAGAACTGGGACAACAGTAGTGAAAATTGTCATTCTAGATGCAAATGACAATGCTCCCATATTCACACAAGAGGTGTACATTGGAAAGGTTTTAGAGAACATGCCAGAAGGCTCTGTAGTTCTGACTGTGCTGGCAAATGATCCAGATGCAGGAGTCAATGGAGACATTTCCTATCAGCTCAGCCAGGCAGTGGAACAGAGTGAGTCCTCATTTGTCATTGATCCCATAACTGGTGAAATTAAACTCACAAAACCTCTGGACTTCGAGGCAGCAGAGCATCATGAACTCCGTGTGACAGCCACAGATGGAGGGGGCCTCTCAGCAATCTGCAAAGTGTTGGTGGAGGTGGTGGATGTGAATGACAATGCCCCAGAGCTGGTGGTCAGTTCCTTCAGCAGTCCCCTCCCCGAGAACACAGTGCCCGGCACGGTGGTTGCCCTGTTTACGGTCAGGGACCGGGACTCTGGTGCCAACGGGAAGATCTCCTGTGGCCTGCAGGATCAGCTCTTCTTCTCCCTGCGGCCGGCCTATAAGAATTACTATGAGCTGGTGACAGTGAGCGCGCTGGACCGCGAGGAGACGCCTCAGTACGTCCTGAGTGTCACGGCAGCAGATGCGGGCTCGCCTCCTCTCAGCACCACGCAGACCTTCACCGTGGACATCTCCGACGTCAACGACAACGCCCCCGTCTTCAACCAGACCTCCTACACCATGTACGTGCGGGAGAACAACGTCCCCACGGTGTTTGTTGGGGCCGTGAGCGCTGCAGATGCTGACGTGGGGCTCAATGCCAAGGTGACCTATTCCCTGGCAGCAGAGCAAGGGCCAGAGCGGCCCTGGTGCTCCTGCATCTCGGTGAACTCGGAGACGGGACACGTGTTTGTGCTGCGGCCCCTGGACTACGAGCACTTGAGGCAGACCGAGGTGACGGTCAGTGCCTCTGACGCGGGCTCTCCTCCCCTCCGAGCCAACGTCAGCGTCCGCCTTGTGGTGCTGGACGAGAACGACAACGCCCCGCTCGTGCTCTACCCGGCCCCCGAGAGCAGCCCGGCCTCCAGTGAGCTGGTGCCCGTGTCGGCTGAGGCGGGCTACCTCATCAGCAAAGTGGTGGCCGTCGATGCCGACTCGGGACAGAACTCCTGGCTCTCCTACCACCTGCTGAGGGCCACCGACCCAGGCCTGTTTTCCGTGGGCCTCCAAAGCGGCGAGGTGCGTCTCAGGAGGCCGGTGACAGAGAGAGACAGCGTCAAGCAGAAGCTCCTTGTGCTGGTCAGAGACAACGGCAAGCCCCCGCTCTCAGCCACGGCAGCTCTCAGCGCTCTCCTGCTCAAGGACTTCTCCGACGTGCGCCTCCCGCACAGCAGCCCGGCCACCGACGATCAGGCCGCCTCCCTCACCACCTATTTAATCATTGCCTTGGTCTTTGTCTCCCTCCTCTTCCTCATCTCCACCGCAGCGCTGGTGGCTCGCAGGCTGTGCAGGAGGAAGGAGCTGAAGGCTGGCCACGTGCTCTATGCTGCCGACACCTTGCAGAGCGGCCTGGCCGATGCAGCCGCTGCTGCAGGGACCCTGCCCCGCCCCTATTGCTACGAGATCAGCCTCACCACGGGCTCGGGCAACAGCGAGTTCAGATTCCTCAAGCCCATCCTGCCCAGCCTGCCCCCACAGCACTGCGCCGTGAGCCAGGGCCCCCATGAGGAACAGGATTTCCCCGCTGGCCCTGTCAGCAGCGAGGACATGGCCCCAGACAGTGCTGGCACTCTCTCTGCAGGACAGTTCAATGCTCTTTCCTTTGACTAGCTGGGCTCTGCACAGACTGAGGCTTCGTGGATCTTTCGAGGAGGGGATCCAGGCTGCACCATGTGTCAATTTTTTCTCAAGTGTTGATCTGTGTTTTCACGGGGATCAATCAAATTTCTGTAAGTTCTATTCAGAATAAAAGCAATCTGGCACTCCCAATACATCAATGGAAGTACAAGAGGTCAAGGTTCACTCACTTTTTTTAGTCATTTGTTTCAGCTCTTTAACTGCTATTTCTTACAGGCTTCATGAATGCAGGTAGCACTCACAGCTCTGTTGTTCTTTCTCTTGCTGTCTGACAAGTCAGAGGACCTTTTTATTCTGACCTTTAAACAATGTCACTGTGGGCCAAACAAGTCATATCCTCACTGAAATGCAAAAAGGTTTTCTCGTACTTCAGGAAAGCAAGGAACTTGCTAGTGCTCAGTCACAATGTCATGTGAGCCCTAGGCTCTTTCTTCCCTGGATTCTGGATGTCTCTGTCTGAGATGTGGCCTATCTGTGCTTTACTTTTTCTCACTACGACAGACAAGACAAGCTTCCTTGTTCATTCAGACACTGAATATCAGCAGATGCTTCAGCAGTGCTGCCTGGTGAAGGCAGTTGCTCCCACCCTGCCATTGCAACACAGGCAGTGCCAGCTGAGCAGAGAACAAAGTGATCTGGACCACTTTGATACAGCAGTCTCATCTTCCTTATCTAGCTCAGATTAGAGCGGCAAAATGCTGAACAAAACCTTCCTTTGGCTTACAAGAAGGGTTTGGATGTTCTGTCACCTCAGGATACCCTTGGAAATAGAGGAGCACAGTGTTAGAGTAGACTGTAACTGAACAGAGCTGTAGGAACATGTTCATTGTCTTTGGCCGCATTGAAGGAAAACTCCACAGATACCACAAGGGAATTATTGGAAGGTAGAGTCAAGAAGAACTTTTAAAAAAAGATGTTGACTTTGGTCTTTTCATTGCTGTTTCTGAATCCAGGGGTTTCTTGAAGGGAATGGAAAACTGTTCCCACCTGAATATTTGTGTTTGTATCAGAGCTTTTGCATTCTCATGTTTGCCATTTCTCCTCTGAAATGTACTGAGCACTGTACTGACCCTGTTCCTCTAGAGAAAGACTGCCACCCCATCTAGAATAGCTGGTTAGAAGAATGATGACTGTGATGCATGAAATACTCAGAAAGACCCCCTGACGCTGTGATGTGCTGAGATTATACAGTTAAATATTATAAATTGGTAAAATTGTGGGATTTAAAAGTGAAAAAATGTGTGATACTAAAATAAAGAGAACACCCTGACTGCTGAAGTGGAGACAGAAGTCTTTTTAGACACGTTATTTCTGGTAAAGCCCTTTCAAGACTTTTCGGAACTGTGCACCTTACCTTCTCGCGGTGTCGCCTTGTATGCAGCAACATGGGATGGCTACAGTTCCTGAGCACGGAGATGCAGCCGGGAGTGTTCATTGGGAGGCCGATGCTGTCAGCCTCGCCCTCTCACTGTGCTGTTTCTCCTGCTGAGGGATGAGGCTCTGTGCTTCTGGGTTGAGCCTGGTCTTTGGGCTGCCCTGGTTAAGGCGGCGTTGCGGTGCCGGCCCCGGGTTTCTCGCTGCGGCTTCGGGATCGCGGGCCGGGCCGAGCGGCAGCGCGGGCTGCGGGCGGCGGCGGCTGCAGTCCCAGCGCGCACCGCTGGGTGGTGCCCTCGGCCAAGGCGGCGCCGAGCGGCTGCGGCAGCGGAGGCGGCCGAGCCCGGAGCGCCACAGCCCGAGCGAGCTCAGCCCAGCCCAGCCCCGCTCAGCCCAGCCCAGTTCAGCTCAGTTCAGCTTAGACCAGCCCAGCGCAGCCGGGAGGAGGTGGCAGCGGCTGCGGCAGCGAGCGCTGCCCCGTGTCACCCGCTGCCGGCACACCCCGGCTGCCTTACGGGCCGCCGGCCGCAATCTCAGACAGCGAGGGAAGGCGCCCGGCCCGCACTTCGCCGCTCTCCGCCCGGAATCGCCCGGGACACCCGCCGCGACACCCACACCGACACCGGCCGCCGCCGCCGCCGCCGCGCCATGGCGCTCGCAAGGCAAGTGCTTTGTGTGTGTGCTTTGCTGGGGCTGCCGCTCGCTCGCGCTGAGCCCATCCGCTACTCCGTAGCCGAGGAGGCGGAAAGCGGCTCCCTGGTGGGCGAGCTGGCGGAGGACGCGGGGCTGACGCCGGCGCAGCTCTCGGCTCGCCGCGCCCGCCTGGTCTCGGAGGACGGCCGGCAGCATTTTCGCCTCGAGCGCGCCTCCGGCCGCCTCATCGTGGCGGAGAGGCTCGACCGGGAGGAGCTCTGCGCCCAGTCCGACACCTGCATGCTCCCCTTCGAGCTGCTGCTCTCCAACCCCCTGCAGTTCTTTCGGGTCGAGGTCACTCTAGACGATATCAATGACCACTCGCCTGTCTTCCCCGAGGAACGAGTCAATTTTAAGGTCCTGGAAAGGAGCGACCCGGGCTCCCGTTTCCCACTGGAGGTGGCTCAGGACCTCGATATTGGGAGCAACACAGTTCAGGAGTACAGTATTTCTCCCGAAAATCAGTATTTCAGTGTCTCCTATGGGACACGTAGTACAGGGAAGAAGTATCTTGAACTTGTTTTGGAAAAGCCACTAGACAGAGAGGAGCAGACAGAGATGCGTTTCAGTGTTATTGCTGTGGATGGTGGCACTCCTCCCAGAAGTGGGACCACAGAAGTGAAAATTGTCATTCTAGATGTGAATGACAATGCTCCCATATTCATGCAGGAGGTGTACATTGCAAAGGTTCTGGAGAATATGGCAGAGGGCTCTCTTGTTCTGAGTGTCCTGGCAACTGATCCAGATGCAGGACTAAATGGGGACATCTCCTATCAACTCATCCAAGCAGTGGGACAGAGTGAGTCAGCATTTGTGATTAATCCCATAACTGGGGAAATTAAACTCACAAAACCTCTGGACTTTGAGGCAGCACACACTCACGAGCTCAGCGTGAGGGCCACAGATGGTGGAGGCCTCTCAGCCATCTGCAAAGTGTTGGTGGAGGTGGTGGATGTGAATGACAATGCCCCAGAGCTGGTGGTCAGTTCCTTCAGCAGTCCCCTCCCCGAGAACACAGTGCCCGGCACGGTGGTTGCCCTGTTTACGGTCAGGGACCAGGACTCTGGTGCCAACGGGAAGATCTCCTGTGGCCTGCAGGATCAGCTCTTCTTCTCCCTGCGGCCAGCCTATAAGAATTACTATGAGCTGGTGACAGTGAGCGCGCTGGACCGCGAGGAGACGCCTCAGTACGTCCTGAGTGTCACGGCAGCAGATGCGGGCTCGCCTCCTCTCAGCACCACGCAGACCTTCACCGTGGACATCTCCGACGTCAACGACAACGCCCCCGTCTTCAACCAGACCTCCTACACCATGTACGTGCGGGAGAACAACGTCCCCACGGTGTTTGTTGGGGCCGTGAGCGCTGCAGATGCTGACGTGGGGCTCAATGCCAAGGTGACCTATTCCCTGGCAGCAGAGCAAGGGCCAGAGCGGCCCTGGTGCTCCTGCATCTCGGTGAACTCGGAGACGGGACACGTGTTTGTGCTGCGGCCCCTGGACTACGAGCACTTGAGGCAGACCGAGGTGACGGTCAGTGCCTCTGACGCGGGCTCTCCTCCCCTCCGAGCCAACGTCAGCGTCCGCCTTGTGGTGCTGGACGAGAACGACAACGCCCCGCTCGTGCTCTACCCGGCCCCCGAGAGCAGCCCGGCCTCCAGTGAGCTGGTGCCCGTGTCGGCTGAGGCGGGCTACCTCATCAGCAAAGTGGTGGCCGTCGATGCCGACTCGGGACAGAACTCCTGGCTCTCCTACCACCTGCTGAGGGCCACCGACCCAGGCCTGTTTTCCGTGGGCCTCCAAAGCGGCGAGGTGCGTCTCAGGAGGCCGGTGACAGAGAGAGACAGCGTCAAGCAGAAGCTCCTTGTGCTGGTCAGAGACAACGGCAAGCCCCCGCTCTCAGCCACGGCAGCTCTCAGCGCTCTCCTGCTCAAGGACTTCTCCGACGTGCGCCTCCCGCACAGCAGCCCGGCCACCGAGGATCAGGCCGCCTCCCTCACCACCTATTTAATCATTGCCTTGGTCTTTGTCTCCCTCCTCTTCCTCATCACCACCGCAGCGCTGGTGGCTCGCAGGCTGTGCAGGAGGAAGGAGCTGAAGGCTGGCCACGTGCTCTATGCTGCCGACACCTTGCAGAGCGGCCTGGCCGATGCAGCCGCTGCTGCAGGGACCCTGCCCCGCCCCTATTGCTACGAGATCAGCCTCACCACGGGCTCGGGCAACAGCGAGTTCAGATTCCTCAAGCCCATCCTGCCCAGCCTGCCCCCACAGCACTGCGCCGTGGGCCAGGGCCCCCATGAGGAACAGGATTTCCCCGCTGGCCCTGTCAGCAGCGAGGACACAGCCCCAGACAATGCTGGCACTCTCTCTGCAGGACAGTTCAACGCTCTTTCCTTTGACTAGCTGGGCTCTGCACAGACTGAGGCTTCATCGGTCTTGGGAGGAAGATATCAAGGCTCCAGCATGTGGCAATTTTTTCTCAAGAGTTTATCTGTGTTTGCAGTTGGATCAACCAACTTTCTGAAAGTTCTATTCAGAATAAAAGCAATCTGGCACTCCCAATACATCAATGGAAGTACAAGAGGTCAAGGTTCACTCACTTTTTTTAGTCATTTGTTTCAGCTCTTTAACTGCTATTTCTTACAGGCTTCATGAATGCAGGTAGCACTCACAGCTCTGTTGTTCTTTCTCTTGCTGTCTGACAAGTCAGAGGACCTTTTTATTCTGACCTTTAAACAATGTCACTGTGGGCCAAACAAGTCATATCCTCACTGAAATGCAAAAAGGTTTTCTCGTACTTCAGGAAAGCAAGGAACTTGCTAGTGCTCAGTCACAATGTCATGTGAGCCCTAGGCTCTTTCTTCCCTGGATTCTGGATGTCTCTGTCTGAGATGTGGCCTATCTGTGCTTTACTTTTTCTCACTACGACAGACAAGACAAGCTTCCTTGTTCATTCAGACACTGAATATCAGCAGATGCTTCAGCAGTGCTGCCTGGTGAAGGCAGTTGCTCCCACCCTGCCATTGCAACACAGGCAGTGCCAGCTGAGCAGAGAACAAAGTGATCTGGACCACTTTGATACAGCAGTCTCATCTTCCTTATCTAGCTCAGATTAGAGCGGCAAAATGCTGAACAAAACCTTCCTTTGGCTTACAAGAAGGGTTTGGATGTTCTGTCACCTCAGGATACCCTTGGAAATAGAGGAGCACAGTGTTAGAGTAGACTGTAACTGAACAGAGCTGTAGGAACATGTTCATTGTCTTTGGCCGCATTGAAGGAAAACTCCACAGATACCACAAGGGAATTATTGGAAGGTAGAGTCAAGAAGAACTTTTAAAAAAAGATGTTGACTTTGGTCTTTTCATTGCTGTTTCTGAATCCAGGGGTTTCTTGAAGGGAATGGAAAACTGTTCCCACCTGAATATTTGTGTTTGTATCAGAGCTTTTGCATTCTCATGTTTGCCATTTCTCCTCTGAAATGTACTGAGCACTGTACTGACCCTGTTCCTCTAGAGAAAGACTGCCACCCCATCTAGAATAGCTGGTTAGAAGAATGATGACTGTGATGCATGAAATACTCAGAAAGACCCCCTGACGCTGTGATGTGCTGAGATTATACAGTTAAATATTATAAATTGGTAAAATTGTGGGATTTAAAAGTGAAAAAATGTGTGATACTAAAATAAAGTGAACACCCTGACTGCTTAAGTGGAGACAGAAGTCTTTTTAGACACGTTATTTCTGGTAAAGCCCTTTCAAGACTTTTCGGAACTGTGCAACTTACTTTCTCACCGTGTCCTCTTGTCAGCAGGAATGTTGGGTGGGTAGAGCTCCTGAGCATGGAGATGCAGCCGGGAGTGTTCATTGGGAGGCTGATGCTGTCACCCTCGCTCTATCAGTGTGCTGTTTCTCCTGCTGAGGGATGAGGCTCTGTGCTTCTGGGTTGAGCCTGGTCTTTGGGCTGCCCTGGTTAAGGCGGCGTTGCGGTGCCGGCCCCGGGTTTCTCGCTGCGGCTTCGGGATCGCGGGCCGGGCCGAGCGGCAGCGCGGGCTGCGGGCGGCGGCGGCTGCAGTCCCAGCGCGCACCGCTGGGTGGTGCCCTCGGCCAAGGCGGCGCCGAGCGGCTGCGGCAGCGGAGGCGGCCGAGCCCGGAGCGCCACAGCCCGAGCAAGCTCGGCCCAGCCCAGCCCAGCCCAGCTCAGCTCAGCTCAGTTGAGCTTAGACCAGCCCAGTGCAGCCGGGCGGAGGTGGCAGCGGCTGCGGCAGCGAGCGCTGCCCCGTGTCACCCGCTGCCGGCACACCCCGGCTGCCTTACGGGCCGCCGGCCGCAATCTCAGACAGCGAGGGAAGGCGCCCGCCCCGCACTTCGCCGCTCTCCGCCCGGAATCGCCCGGGACACCCGCCGCGACACCGACACCGGCCGCCGCCGCCGCCGCCGCCGCCGCCGCGCCATGGCGCTCGCAAGGCAAGTGCTTTGTGTGTGTGCTTTGCTGGGGCTGCCGCTCGCTCGCGCCGAGCCCATCCGCTACTCCGTAGCCGAGGAGGCGGAAAGCGGCTCCCTGGTGGGCGAGCTGGCGGAGGACGCGGGGCTGACGCCGGCGCAGCTCTCGGCTCGCCGCGCCCGCCTGGTCTCGGAGGACGGCCGGCAGCATTTTCGCCTCGAGCGCGCCTCCGGCCGCCTCGTCGTGGCGGGGAGGCTCGACCGGGAGGAGCTCTGCGCCCAGTCCGACACCTGCATGCTCCCCTTCGAGCTGCTGCTCTCCAACCCCCTGCAGTTCTTTCGGGTCGAGGTGACCTTGGACGATATCAATGACCATTCTCCTGTTTTCCGAGACGAGCGAGTCAGTTTTAGGATCCCTGAAATGACAGAGCCAGGTTCTCGTTTCTCACTGGAGGGAGCACAAGACCTCGATATTGGAAGTAATACAGTCCAGCAGTACAGCATTTCTCCCGAGAACGAGTACTTTAGTGTCTCTTATGGAAGTCGTAGTGAGGATGACAAATATATTGAGCTAGTCTTGAAAAAGCCACTAGATAGAGAGGAAGAGGAAGAGATGATCTTCTTTCTCATTGCTGTAGATGGGGGCTCTCCTCCCAGAAGTGGGTCAACAGAAGTGAAAATTGTCATTCTAGATGTAAATGACAATGCTCCCAAATTCACACAGGAGGTGTACATTGGAAAGGTTTTGGAGAACATGCCAGAAGGCTCTGTGGTTCTGACTGTGCTGGCAACTGATCCAGATGCAGGAGTCAATGGGGACATCTCCTATACACTCAGCCAGGCAGTGGGACAGAGTGAGTCAGGATTCATCATTGATCCCATAACTGGTGAAATTACACTCACAAAACCTCTGGACTTCGAGGCAGCAGAGCATCATGAACTCCGTGTGACAGCCACAGATGGAGGGGGCCTCTCAGCAATCTGCAAAGTGTTGGTGGAGGTGGTGGATGTGAATGACAATGCCCCAGAGCTGGTGGTCAGTTCCTTCAGCAGTCCCCTCCCCGAGAACACAGTGCCCGGCACGGTGGTTGCCCTGTTTACGGTCAGGGACCGGGACTCTGGTGCCAACGGGAAGATCTCCTGTGGCCTGCAGGATCAGCTCTTCTTCTCCCTGCGGCCGGCCTATAAGAATTACTATGAGCTGGTGACAGTGAGCGCGCTGGACCGCGAGGAGACGCCTCAGTACGTCCTGAGTGTCACGGCAGCAGATGCGGGCTCGCCTCCTCTCAGCACCACGCAGACCTTCACCGTGGACATCTCCGACGTCAACGACAACGCCCCCGTCTTCAACCAGACCTCCTACACCATGTACGTGCGGGAGAACAACGTCCCCACGGTGTTTGTTGGGGCCGTGAGCGCTGCAGATGCTGACGTGGGGCTCAATGCCAAGGTGACCTATTCCCTGGCAGCAGAGCAAGGGCCAGAGCGGCCCTGGTGCTCCTGCATCTCGGTGAACTCGGAGACGGGACACGTGTTTGTGCTGCGGCCGCTGGACTACGAGCACTTGAGGCAGACCGAGGTGACGGTCAGTGCCTCTGACGCGGGCTCTCCTCCCCTCCGAGCCAACGTCAGCGTCCGCCTTGTGGTGCTGGACGAGAACGACAACGCCCCGCTCGTGCTCTACCCGGCCCCCGAGAGCAGCCCGGCCTCCAGTGAGCTGGTGCCCGTGTCGGCTGAGGCGGGCTACCTCATCAGCAAAGTGGTGGCCGTCGATGCCGACTCGGGACAGAACTCCTGGCTCTCCTACCACCTGCTGAGGGCCACCGACCCAGGCCTGTTTTCCGTGGGCCTCCAAAGCGGCGAGGTGCGTCTCAGGAGGCCGGTGACAGAGAGAGACAGCGTCAAGCAGAAGCTCCTTGTGCTGGTCAGAGACAACGGCAAGCCCCCGCTCTCAGCCACGGCAGCTCTCAGCGCTCTCCTGCTCAAGGACTTCTCCGACGTGCGCCTCCCGCACAGCAGCCCGGCCACCGACGATCAGGCCGCCTCCCTCACCACCTATTTAATCATTGCCTTGGTCTTTGTCTCCCTCCTCTTCCTCATCTCCACTGCAGCGCTGGTGGCTCGCAGGCTGTGCAGGAGGAAGGAGCTGAAGACTGGCCACGTGCTCTATGCTGCCGACACCTTGCAGAGCGGCCTGGCCGATGCAGCCGCTGCTGCAGGGACCCTGCCCCGCCCCTATTGCTACGAGATCAGCCTCACCACGGGCTCGGGCAACAGCGAGTTCAGATTCCTCAAGCCCATCCTGCCCAGCCTGCCCCCACAGCACTGCGCCGTGGGCCAGGGCCCCCATGAGGAACAGGATTTCCCCGCTGGCCCTGTCAGCAGCGAGGACACAGCCCCAGACAATGCTGGCACTCTCTCTGCAGGACAGTTCAATGCTCTTTCCTTTGACTAGCTGGGCTCTGCACAGACTGAGGCTTCGTGGGCCATGGGAGGAGAGGGCATCCTGACTGCAGCATGTGGCAATGCTTCCTCCATGGAAATTTGTATTTTAAATATGTTTAACCAACTTCCCATACATTCTCTTCAAAATACATGTCTGCCACTTCACCAAGCAATGAAGGAAATATAAGAAGACAAGGTGCTCTCACTCTTTTTAAAATGTGTTTCACCTTTGCTACTGCCTTTTCTAACAGGCTTTATATATGTGGTTAGAACTCAATCGATGATCTGCTTTCTCTAGCTGGCGCACAAGACAGAGCAACATTTTATTCTCATCTTCAAGTCAATATCACTGTTGTCCAAACGAATCATATCCTCACTGAAAAAGAAAAACTCTTTTTCCCACCTCTGGAAAGCAAGGACCTTGTGAGTACTAATATCATGTGAGCACTAGGCCCTTTCTTCCCTGGATTCTGGATGTCTCTGTCTGAGATGTCAGCTATGTGTGCTTTGCTTTCTTGTAAGTATGTTTGGCCATGCAGACGTTGAAAATCTGCAAGTGCTTCAGTCGTGTTGCCTGGTGAAGCAGGGAGTCAGTCCCACCCAGACACTGCAGCACAGGCAATGCCAGCCCAGCAGGGAAGAGGGTGATCTGGACCCTGTGAAAACAGCGGTCTCATCTTCATTATCTAGCTTAGAGTAGAGCAGTAAAAGGCACAAATGTCTTCATTTGGTTTATGGGAAGAGCTTGGGTGTTCTGTCACCTCAGGATTGCTTTGGAATTAAAGGAGCACAAATAGGGTTAGGGTAGACTGTAACTGAATATAGCTGTAACCTGTAAGAGAAACATGTTCATTGTCATGGAATGCATTAAAGGAAAATTCCACAAATAT